TCATAAGGAAGCTATTTCACAAGATGAGGGTCTAGCACCATTGATAGAGACTTATGTGACGTCCACGTCACCAAAGCCCTGGGTTTGATCTCCAGCACCACCTGAAAATGGGTGTGGAGGGACATACTTGGATCTAACACTCTGGAGGTAGAGGCAGCATTAGGAATTCAATACTACATAGTGCTTTGTAGCACGATTAATAAAAGCCTAGTGACAAAACTTGGGGTTCTAAGCCGGGCAGTGGTGGCGCACGCCTTTAATCCCAGCACTCGCGAGGCAGAGGCAGGCGGATCTCTGTGAGTTCGAGGCCAGCCTGGTCTACAAGAGCTAGTTCCAGGACAGGAACCAAAAGCTACGGAGAAACCCTGTCTCGAAAATAAAAAAAAAAAAAAAAAAAAAAGAGCTAGTTCCAGGACAGGCTCCAAAGCTACAGAGAAACTCTTTCTCAGGAAAAAAAAAAATAGCATTCAACCTTAAGGTCAAAAAAGCAAAAGAGCAAGCTACTGGCTCTTACCTCAATCTCAGTCCAAAATGGCGATCTTGCCTCCAGGAATCTCAGAATGAGTCTGTGTGTGAGAGCTGTCTCCTTCCATTTTATATCCACTGTAGTGCTGGGATTAAAGGTGTATGCCACTACCACCCGGTTTCTATGGCAAACTAGTGTGGCTGTTGGGATTAAAGGTGTGCGCCTCCACTGCCTGGTCTGTAAGACTGATCAGTGTGGCTGTTTTACTCTCTGAACTTCAGGCAAGCTTAATTTATTAAAATGCAAATGAATTATCACTACAGTGAGTTTGAGGCTAACCATGAGCTGTATGATACCTGGGCCAAAAATTCAAAAGCAGTTTTTTTGTTTTGGTTTGGTTTTTTGAGACAGGGTTTCTCTGTAGCTATGGAGCCTATCCTGGAACTAGCTCTTGTAGACCAGGCTGGCCTCAAACTCGGAGATCCAACATCCCGAGTGCTGAGATAAAAGGTGTGCACCACCACCAACTGACACAAAAGCAAAATATTTTTAAGGGTTGAGGACTTAGCTCAGTGGTAGAGCACTTGCCTAGCAAGCAGAAGGCCCTGGTTGGGTCCTCAGCTCCAAAAATATGCATATATATAATTTTTAAATTATTTGATATACATATAATTCTACTATTTATTCAAGATTAGAGCAAATTTACATACCTATGAGACAGAGGAGCTTGCTTATTTTCACATAAAGAATTAAATCTTAGCTTAATATTTGATACTGCAAAACACAGGTCATCTTCAATGTTTTCCTGGTACATTTTGAATCTATAATTGTCAATGCTGAGAATGCCACTTTGATAAATATGTAGTGCAAAATGACAGAAGCACTTGGGAAACAGAGGCAGGTGGATCTCTATGAGTTCAAGGACAACCTGGTCTACCAAGTGAGTACCAGAACAGCCAGGACTGTTCCATAGAGAAACCCTGTCTTGAAAAAAAGAAAAAGAAAGGCAGAAGCATGTTCAGAGCCATTTCAAAAATTGTTAGAACTTCCTGTCCTAGTACCAATCCAAAAGTTCAAGTAGGGCTGGCAAGATAGCTCAGTAGATAAAGGCGTAGGCAGAGTTTTTCGTCAGGACCACCTGCTCCCAAATAACCACACAGAGACTTAATATTAATTATAAATGCTCAGCCAATCGCTTAAGCTTGTTACCAACTAGCTCTTACAACTTAGATTAGCCCATATTTCTCATCTGCGCTTACCACGTGGTGGTACCTTTTTTTTTTTTTTTGATTTTCGAGACAGGGTTTCTCTGTAGCTTTTTGAACTAGCTGGAGCTAGACCAGGCTGGCCTCGAACTCACAGAGATCCGCCTGCCTCTGCCTCCCAAGTGCCGGCTGGTGGTACCTTTTTTCAGCACTGCTTCTTTCTGCTTCTCCTGGTGACTTTGCTCTCTTCTTCCCCGTGCTCGCTTTTTGTCCATAAGTCCTGGCTAACCTCTGTTTGCCCAGCTATTGGCCATTCAGCCCTTACTAAACCCATGAGAGTAACGAATATCCATGGTATACAGAAAGCTTGTTCCACAGCATAAAGGTCTTGCCACTAAGCCTGATGGCCCGAGTTTAATCCCCAAGGACCACATAATGAAAGGCGAGAACAGGCTCTCACAAGTTATCTTCTGACCTCCATATATGAGCCAGGCCATGTGTGAACAGTAGACAGCACGGTCCATACGCACCAAATAAAAATAAAGAAAAATGGTAATAAAATTTATTATTTTGGGGGAGAAGGAATTAAAACAGAGTCTCACATAGCACAGGCTGGCCTTCAATTTACTATGCAGCTGAGGGTGGCCTTGAACTCCTGATCCCACTTACACCTGTGTGACACCAAGCCAGGCCTCACTTAATGATCTGTTTGTTTGAGACAGGGTTTCTCTGTGTTGCTTTGGAGCTGGTCCTGGAACTTGCTCTTGAAGACCAGGCTGGCCTCGAACCCACAGAGATTTGCCTGCCTCGGCCTCCCGAGTGCTAGGATTAAAGGTGTGAGCCACCACCTCCCAGCTAACGATTGTTTTTTTAAATGAAACTCAAGTCAGCAAATTTCTATGCCAGGCATTCTAACACAGTACAATCCAGAGATGTATTAATTTGATACTTAACTTACAGCTGAGGAAAGACAGTGAGAAAATATTGAGTCTTTGCTTTCTGTAATTAAACCATTACGCTTTTGTAAGAACAGAAAGCTTTGCATGTACAGTAAAACACTGCAGTTCATAACACTGATCTCAAATCTAAGCCAAGATGTTTCAGGCAAATGTTGGTGTTGCGTGGCTTGATTGTACGCACACCGCATACATGCTATATGTTCAGAACCAAGAAAGCATTGTCTATATATATATATAGTAAACATTGACAATGCAACACAGACGAAGATGATGAATCCAAAGATACCTTTGGGTTCATGGGGTGGCGAATTAATTTTCGGTCAGTGGACATTCAGAAACATTTTACGGTTGCCAATCTCTGCATGGCTTCCCACAGTCAGTCATGAGGCCCCCATAAGTTCATCACCCACAGATTAAGAACCTTGGGCTGGAATTGAAGAGATGACTCAGCAATTAAGAGCACCGCTCTTCCAGAAGACCCAGTTCCATTCCCAGCACCCACATGGTGGCTCACAACCATCTGTAATCCAAATTCAAGGGGATTTGATGCCCTCTTCTCGTCCCACGCAGGTCATGCATGCATGTACACACATATGTGCTGGCTGTAGGTGAAGTTTTTCGTCAGGACTTCTGGGTCCCCAATAAATGGACAGAGATGTAAAATTAATTATAAATGCTTGGTCGATAGCTTAGGTTTATTACTAACCAGCTCTTCCAACTTAAATTAACCCGTATTTCTTATCTGTGCTTTACCACATGGCGGTACCTTTTTTCAGCTTGGCATGTTCATCTCCTGCTTCCTCTGCATCTGGCTGGCAACCCTGTCACTCTGCCTTTCTACTTCCCAGCATCCTCTCAGTTTGGCTCTCCCACCTAACATCTTACTGCCTAGTTATTGGCCAGTCAGAAGGCACTTTGGCAAAGACACATCTTCACAGTATACAAAAGATTATTCCAAGATGGGCGGTGGTGGCGCACGCCTTTAATCCCAGCACTTGGGAGGTAGAGGCAGTCGGATCTCTGTGAGTTCGAGACCAGCCTGGTCTACAGAGCTAGTTCCAGGACAGGCTCCAAAACCACAGAGAAACCCTGTCTCGAAAAACCAAAAAAAAAAAAAAAAGATTATTCCATAACATCTGGCAAAACACCTGCACACATACAAATAAAATAAAAAGAGGCAGGGACAGGGGAGATGGCTCGGCGCTTATGAGTTCCTACTGTGAACCAAGTGCAGTTTCTAGCACCATGTCAGATGGCTCACAACTGCCTGAGACTCCAGCTCCGAGGGGATTTGACATCGGCCTACTCAGGCACCCACATTCTCATGCATACACCTCCCCCATAAACACATACAATTAAAAAGACATATTTTTCAGAAGCTGGGAGATTTATTACATATTTAACAAATGTTCATTATTTTCTTTCTTTGTTGCTTTTTGTTTGAGACAGGACCCCATGTAACCAGACTGACCTGAACTTTTTTTTAAAGATTTATTTTTATGAATATGAATGTTTTGCTTGCATGTATGGTACATGTACCATATGCATGCCTGGTCCCCTCAGAGGTGAGAGGAAGGCCCTGGATCCTCTGGAACTGGAGTTACAGACAGTTGTGAGTTGTCATGTGGGTGCTGGGAACTGAAATCCAGGCCTCTGCAAGAGCCTCCAGTGCTCTAAACTACTGTGCCTCCTTCTCCAGTCCCATCCTGAACTTTGGATCCCCCTGCCTCGGTCTTCACATGCTGGGATTATGGACAAGCACCACCACGCCCAGAATGTTCATTGTTTTCAGGGTCCTCGGTCCCACGGTTTCATGATGTCGTTAATCCGGCAGATGAAGTTCACAATGGCTCTGAGCATACAGTAGTGAAGAGACGCGCGTTCTGTTGTCAAGAAGTGAAGGTCCAAGTGACATTGGGCTCAGCCTGACAACTGGAATTCAGTTTCCAGGACCATATGGTGGGAAGAGAGAACCAATCCCTGTAAACTGTCCTCTGATCTCTAGACGCATGCTATGACACAAATACACACACACACACACACACACGAGAGAGAGAGAGAGAGAGAGAGAGAGAGAGAGAGAGAGAGAGAATAAATAAGTGTAATTTTAAAATGTTTAAAAAGAAATTAATGGGGCTGGAGACTGTGAGTGCCTGATCCCCCTGCCTCCACTTTCCAAGTGCTGGGACTACAGGCTCAGAGGTAAAGAGAACTCACTGGCTGTTCTTCCAGAGGTCCTGAGTTCAATTCCCAGCAACCACATAGTGGCTCACAACCATCTATAATGAATTATGGTGCCTTATTCTGACCTATAGGGATATATGCGGGCAGAATACTGTATACGTAATAAATATAATATCTGTCTTTAAGGTTGAGGTGTGCTTCTTGTATGCAGCAGAAGGATGAATTTAAGAAGAAAAAAAAGAAATTAACATTGCTGTACCAGGGTGATGGCAACACTCTACAATGAGGAAACAAGAATGGTAACTGCGGAAGAATAAGGAAGGGACATGCAGTCTGCCTGGAAGTGAGAGGGCATAAGAGAACGGTAAGGAGTGGTCACAGCTTCGTTCATCAAAGGCACCCCCCATATGATTTGGGGTCCTGGATGGATAGATAGATAGATAGATGAAAGATAGATAGATAGATAGATAGATAGATGAAAGATAGGTAGATAGATAGATGAAAGATAGGTAGATAGATAGATACATAGATAGATACATAGATAGATACATAGATACATAGATACATAGATACATAGATACATAGATACATAGATAGATAGATGGGGACTGTGACCCCCTGCCTGCTGGAGTACAAAACTTGTTTTCCTATGCTTGCAGCTGCTCTGAGCAAACAACTTGTTTTGCAGCTGCTCTGAGCACGAGACCCTCAGGAGTTCCTGATTGCAGGGGAGTAGTTTCTGGTGAGCTTGCAGCTGAGAGTTAGGGCATGGAAGGAGACCCTATATAAGCTGCCCTAGAACACAATAAAGAGGCAGTCTCGGCATTATCTGTGTCTGTGTGTGTGTTTCAGTCTCCAGACCCTTGCCCTACTCACAAACCGTGCTGTAGCGCATAATGCAGGCATTGTGCTACTACATATGTGTGTGTGTGTGTGTGTGTGTGTGTGTGTATGCAGCAAACCACCAGCATTAATGTTACACGCCTTTAATCCCAGCACTCTGGAGGTAGACGCAGGTGGATCTCTGTGAATTTGAGGGCAGCCTGGTCTACAGAGTGAGTTCCAGGACAGCCAGGGCTACACAGAGAACCCTGTCTCAAAGACAAACAAAAGCAGCGAAGCAGAGCAGTGGATTTCGAATGCCTGCCCTCTGTCTGGCGCTAATGCGTGGAACAAGGAGAAAAGCGTGAATAAAGCTGAGCTGGCCTTGAACTTGCTGTGTAACAGAGGGTGACTGTGAGTGCCTGATCCCCCTGCCTCCGCCTTCAAGTGCTGGGACTACAGGCATGTGCCACCATGTCCCCGTGTAAAGTGTGTCCATTTGTGTGCTGCAAGTCCTCTGTTTAAGGCCACCTCACTGAGAGAATGAAACCATCCTCCGTCTTTTTGATCTATGAACGTAAAGCGATGGCTGCAGCACAAGATAGCTGTGTGCATTTGATATTTGTGGTTTTCCAGACGAAAAGCTCTCAGACATCTCCCGCTCCCTCTTCAGTTTTCAAACTTCCAGTTTTGATAAAGTCTAAACAATGGAGAATCTCTGAGCCAGATGATTTCTAAGATTCTCCTCGTCTTTGTCATTATGAAATTCTCAGCTCAGCAGTGATGGAGGCGTGGAGCTAAAGAGAGTTTAGAATCTTCGAGCCAAATCCTCTCCAACAGATCCTGGGTAAAATAAAGACGGAAGTGATTGGTAAGGCTAAGGCAGGAGGGGACAGGAACTTGGTACCCTCAAAAACCCTCCTAAACCACAGAATACCTCAGGTATCCATCTACACTTGCTGTCCTGATCTGAGGAAATGTAGTTCTAAAGAGAGACCACAGAAATCACAGAGAGAAGAGATGGGGGGGGGGAGACACGACATCAATTTGGTGCGGTTCTCACAAACCTTTAAAATAGAGCAATTGAAGCGATGATGGGGTTTCATGACCGGCGGCGGCTCTGAAGGGAACGCTCACGGCTACTGGCGATTCTCTGAGTAGGTGGGAGAGGAAAGAAAATGGTTTTTCTCCTCACCTTCCACTTAGGAGAAAATGGAGGCAATGAAAAGCAAAAATCTCCCCTAATGTCCCATTACGGGGGGACAAATGAAATGCTGCTCCTCGCAGCTCCTCAGCCAGGGGCACTGGGCAGGCGCTCCCTTCCCCTCCGCTCCAGAAACTAAGTATTCACCAACACACCTGGCACTGCTGTTACCATGGTGACATTTTTTGCATTACCCTCACCTTTTGCATTCCTTAGCTTGGGGGCGGAGGCTGGTGCAGGGCACAGTTCAGTCTTCATATTTCTCCCTCCCGGCTTCTGGAAAATGGAACGAGAGAGAAGGGGAAAGGTTTCGGATCTCCTTTGCCTGCTTCCTTGGCTCCGTGTGTTTCTCAGTTTCCTTTCTAGACCTCACAGCCAAGGACCTAGGAGGGAGGCAGAGGGTGGAAGGAGCTCTGATGGACCCCAGTAGGCCTAGGTTCAAATTCGCAACTCCTGAGGGCAGGAGAGATGGCTCAGGGGTTAAGAGCACCGATTGCTCTTTCAGGGGACCCAGATTCAATTCATAGCACCTACCTGGCGGCTCACAGCTGTCTATAAGTCTAGTTCCAGGGGACCTGACACCCACAAAATACCAATGTACATTAAATAAAAATAAATAAATTAAAAAAATGTTTGGCTGGGCAGTGGTGGTGCATGGCTTTAATCCCAGCACTTGGGAGGCAGAGGCAGGCAGATCTCTGTGAGTTCGAGGCCAGCCTCATCTACGGAGCAAGTTCCAGGACAGGCTCCAAAGCTACACAGAGAAATCCGAAAAAACAAAAAAATAGAATTAAAAATTTGCAATTCCTCCAGGAATCCGTATGTCTTCATTCAAACCTGCCCTGGGCCAAGTATTGGCAGATCTGAGGGAATAGTTGGTCAGCGACAGACTGCTGGCTGTCCCTAGGGAAAGTCGAGAGCGCAGATGGCATGAGCCAGAGCAAAAAGCACCAAAGCAGGTGCTGGTTTCTCTCTCTCTGGGATTAAACCTGAGGCCGGAAGATGCTGGCAAGCCCTCTATTACTAAGCTGAGCTATCCCCCTGCATCCCCCTTTTTCATTTTGAGATGGTGTCTCACTGCATAGCCCAGGTTCGCTTTGAACTAGCAGTCCTATCTCAGCCTGCCACCAGGCCTCTCTAGGCGCTGTCTCTATCACTTCCTAGGAAAACAGAGAGATGTGAAACCCAAACTTAACTGGAGAGACTCAAGAAAAGCCAAACACTTAGGAGTTAGATGTGTGGGCCCACCAAAACTAAGGGTAAGAGGAAGAGCCAGGTGTGCTTATAATCTTGAGACTGGGAGATGAGGCAGGAGGGTCATGAGTTTGAAGCCAGCCTGGAATTCTCAGCAAGGCCCTGCCTTGAGAAACAACCAGCACGCGCCTTTTATTCTAGCACTCAAGGAAGAGACGGGCCTATCACTGTGAGTGAGTTCAAGGCCAGACTGGTCTACAAAGGGAGTTCCAAGACAGTCAGGACTGTCACACAGAAACCCTGTCTCAAAAAACCAAAACCAAAACAAAACAAATCAAAAACCCTAAGAACAAAAGACAAAATCAGCCACACCAAACACTCACATCCAGCACACAGACCCAGACTATCCAAAGCTCAATTTAGTAACCTTGGATATCGCTGAACTCTAGTCCTTCAGTGTCTTTTTTTATTTTTTAGATTTATTATGTATACAGTGTTCTGCCTGTTTTCATGCCTGCGGGCCAGAAGAGGGCACCAGATCTCATTACAGACGGTTGTGAGCTATCTTGTGGTTGCTGTGAATTGAACTCGGGACCTTTAGAAGAGGAGGCAGTGCTCTGAACCACTGAGCCATCTCTCCAACCCCTTCAGTGTCTTTACTGGTAAAAGGACGGTCCTAATCATACCAGTCCCTGTTGCTGGAATTCAGTAAGATACAACAGATACGACATAGAAACCACCCAGGGTGGGTATACAAAGGCGGCTGCTTCTGAATAGGCGTCCCTGACCAAGCAGCCATGTTCCCTAGGCTGAACTGCACAGCTCTTACTGTTTCATGCTTATGGAACCTAGCTTCTGGCCGGCAATCCCGAAGCACAACTTCCCAGCCTTTTTGGAATCTTTCCTTGGGCCCCTTCACTTTTGCTCTCTCTGCCTCTTTCAGGCTGTTGGGTAGTTCCCTTCCAGGTGCAGAAGGCTACAAACAATCCCACCCGAGGCCCCTCCTCAGCATTCCCCTCTTCAACAACAACATCTGCCTCTACCCTAGACCAAAGGGAGAAAAGAAGGCCTGCCTGCATTGCCCTCCCCTGAAGACGGAGATGGGGGGAAAGGCAGGCTGTGCGTCACGCCTGACGCAATCTTACTCTCATTTCTTGGCCCGCTTCCTCCTCCTCGAGTGTTTACTGAAGCCTGAATTCCACAGAAACCTCTGGAAGTGTGCACTGACAACAGTGGCAGGCAGCATGCATAACTGGCCCCGCTCCAGGGACAGTTTAGGAAGAAAGTGATACTTGTGCCCCGGGCTCAGGGACACTGGAGAGAGAAATCCGGTGTCAGGGGAATCCAGTGGGAGGGGCAAGGAAGGTAGATTGAGAGGAGGAGGCGTGGCTGAGAGACCGACTTCTGCCTCCTGCCAGATCCAGCTTCCAGAACCCGCTCTGGGGAAGCTAATAAATAGGCTCTTTATCTCAGCTGTGTGGAGGAGGCTACCAAAAAGGGGTCTCCAGTGACGGGAGCCTCAGAAGCAGCGTAGAGGCCCGTCTCTTCCCTGCCGGCCGGCGGAACTCCTAAAGGAAAAGCAGCTTCTTGGAAGGGCCTTGTTTTCTAGCTATTTGCCCACGACTCTGTCATCGGCGGGGTCACAGGCTTGACCTGGTCGCCTGGGGACAGCCGTAGAAAAGCAGGTTCAGGACGTGGGGTTTGGGCAGGGACTTGCTAGCTGCCCTAGGCAAGCCATTTCATCTGCTTCTCAACTTCCTCCTGGCAAAAGGCAAACGGTGAAAGCTCACCTCACAGATCCGGCCTCCTGGCTGTAGAACTGGCAAAGTTACAAGCTCTCAAGAGCCATTTAGAGCAGTGGTTCTCAACCTTTCTAATGCTGCGCTCCTTTAATTCGGCTCCTCATGTTGTGGTAACCCCACCCCCCACACACCATCAAATCATTTCACTGCTTCTTCACAACGGGAATTTTGCTGCCGTCATGAATCTTAATGTAAGTATCTGAGAGGCAGGATATCTGATTCGCAGCCCCTGTGGGGGACGAGGCCCACGGGTTGAGAGGAAGCTGCCACAGATGATGGTAGTCTTGTTTTATTTAAGCACCAAGGGTTGGGGAGTCTTTTTCTGAAGCTGGGGTTCAACAGTGATGCTTTTGTCAACATCTCATGACTATTTCCCGGTTGTCAGGAGAGCCAGGCTTCCCCACCCCCAGAGCTGTGAAAACCAGTACCTAAGCTTGCTCAAGCTCCTGAGTCACGCAGCAAGGCAAGCCCAAGATAATCAGATCAAGGAAACTCAATGCAGAGAGGGGAAAACCCAGCCACAGGGCTGGGGCCTTCTCGTGGGACAGTTCCCACTGTGAGCTCCTCCAATGAGCGTTCACTGCTGATGGCACAAACAAACCAGCAGCTGACACCTGGGAAGGGGCATTGGGCATTCCCAGAGTAACGTGTCAGAGACAACCTTACTTTAGCCAGTAGCCATGCTTCCCCGGCTTGATATAAATTTTGCTTTTTCTTTTGCATTTTTTATTTTATTTTATGTGCATTGGTGTTTTGCCTACCTGCATGTATGTCTGTGTAAGAGTGTCAGATCCCCTGGAACTGGAGTTATAGACAGCCATGAGCTCCCAGGTAGTAGGAATAGAACCCGGGTCCTCTGGAAGAGCAGTCAGTGTTCTTTGATTTTGCCTTTCTTTCTTTCTTTCTTTCCTTCCTTCCTTCCTTTCTTCCTTCCTTTTTTTTTTTTTTTATAAGGCAAGAGTCTCACTTTGTAGCTCTGGCAGACTTGGAACTCACTACGCAGACCAGGCTGGCCTTGAACTCACAGAGCTCCTCCTGCCTTTGCCTCTGCTTTTTAGATGACTCTCTTTCCCCCCCCACCTCCCACTCCTGGAAGAAGTGACACCCTGCCTCTCATCACATACACACACACACACACACACACACACACACACACACACACACCATCCCCCACCCACTCATTCCTAAGCCTCTGGTTTCTGCTCAGCTCTCCCTCTACCTCTCTCAGATCACACTCACTGGTGGTTTGTTGACTGCCAAGACCTAAAGGTCACCTCCCTGCCTTAGCTCTTCTAAGTGGTTGGCACTCTTGACAACTTAGTTATTTATTTTGGGTTGGCATATACATGTGCACGTAGGGCCAGAGGTCAAAGGGTAGCTTTCTCAATTGCCCTCCACCTTATTTTTTTTGACAGAGGGTCCTTTCACTGAGCCTGTAGCTCCCAATTTAGTTAGACTAGCTGGCCAGCAAGCTGGGGGAACCCTCTCGTCTCCACCTCCCCAGGGCATGCCACCACACCTGGCTTTATGTGGGTACTGGGAACTGAACTTGCGCTTGAATAGCAAGCTTTTTTACCATCTGAGCTTTCCTCCCAACCCCTTTTGGTGTCTGAGAAGGGTCGAACTCTGTAACCCAGGCAGACTTCAAACGCTCAGTAATCCTGCCTCAGTTTTTCAGGTAATGCAATTAAGGTGTAAACTACATTCTGCCGCCTTAAAACTGTCCGTGCTGGACTTCTGGACTCCGCCCCTTGTTGTCCTACTGTGTGCTGGCAGGTTGTGCTCCACGCTCTAAGCGTACCTCCTCCAGTTCTGCAGTTAGTCCCTCCCCAGGCCCTCCTCGTCCTTCCCACAGTTACCTGTGTCTGTGTCTCTGACTCTACCCTCCTCCTGGGGACTCAGTTCCTCATCTCCTCCAAAGGGTGATGGCTATCGTGTTACCCTATCTACACAACCCTGGGCACAGCACAGCAAGCTGAACATTGCCAAAATCACCAAAACCAGCCTCCGTAGGTCATCTCCAGACCTGATTCCTTATGGGATCCCAGTCTTGTTTGTGTTTGTTTGTGAGTAGGTTGTTTTCATTTTTTATTTTGAGGCAGGGCCCTGTAGCCTGGAACTCACAGAGACCTGCCTGCCTCTACCTTTTGAGTGCTGAAATTAAAGACACGTGCTGGCTTGCTTTTTGCTTGTTTGTTTCCTCAGATAGGGTCTCTTGTAGCCCAGGCTGGCCTTGAACTCACTAAAGAGCTGAGGATGACCATGAACTCCTAAAGTACTGGGGTTCCAGGCGCATGACCGCATGCCTGGCTTATGTAGTCCTGGGGCGCTATAACCCTAGAGTTTCACCTGTGCTAGGCAAGGACTTTCCAACCTGCGCTCCATCTCTCCCACCCCTTTTCTGGAAACAGGGTCTCTTATGTAGCTCAGGCAGACCCAGGAGTCAGTTCACCCACAATGCTGGGATTGCAGGCACGAGCTCTCGTGCCTTGTCCCTGTCTCCAATCTTGATAACCCACCTTTTCCTATTGCCTAGGGCAGAGGGGCTTGCCCCTTCCCAGTCCAACTCAAACACTGTGCTTTTAACATTGTATAAATCCATCTCCCCTTCTCACCTCCATGGCTACTGTTTCTGATTTGCAGGGGTCTCCTTTGGAACCTAAAAGCCTGGATTATAACATGTTTTGTGTAACAAGTGGGCTCTACTGCCTTAATTTCCTTTCACTTGAACCAAACAACTCTTGGGGTGTCTGCCTAGTGACAGTCCTGTTTGTAAGAACCCACTGGGGTGCACTGGCCTGGCTGGAGGACCTCTTGTTGACTTCCCTGGAGCCTTCCCCGCTGTGGCCACAGGGCCAGGAACCAGAGGTGCACACTCGACCCAAGCTGGAGTCTGAAGCTCCATTAGAGTGAGGACAGTTCAAATGTCACAGAAGCAATGAAGAGGCATGGCGGCCACTGTGGCTCTGGAGAGCCTGTGCCTTGGCTATATGCAGCAGCTGTCACTCTGCGCTGGCAGATGGTTGCCATGGAAATACAGGCCCTTGTCAGATATTCTGATTTTCTAATGTAGAATTCCCCAATTTTGAAATTCCAGGCATCATTGCTTTCTTTTAAATATCACAGGCTAAGCGTTCTGCTCTTGCCGCTATTGTCATATTTGGCCCACTGGGCATTCTGTTTGCAGTTGGTGCCGTGGAGTCAGGTTTAGGCTTTGGCCCCAAAGGTGGAGACTGCCTCTCCCTGCTGTGTGTTATGAAGAGGCAAAGACAGAGGAAAGAATAGAGCCCATCCTGCTGACTGTCCTGTACATGTGTCCTGGTTACCTCCTCCTGCCCTCCCTCCGCTGCCCAGGACTATATAATAGCTAAATGTTACATTTCTGAAGCCTGATGGACCTACGTTCAAACGCTGGCTCTGTGACTCTCCGGCTATGTGTCTGGAGCCACTCACTCTCTGAGCCTCTGTGGGTCACATGCCTCATAAGGTTATAGGAGTTCAATGAGATTCTGCTTAGAAACCTCTGACCACAGTTCTCAGTACTGACTAAACGCCCAGTGGATGTCTACTCATTATCTGTACTGCGGTAGAGTTCGTCCTCATCCCAGCCCTCTCTCCCATTTGTGTGACTGGGCATGTACCATTTGCTAGTATTACTTACCTCTATTTTGCCAGCCTTGGTACACTATTTAAAAAAAAAAAAAAGCAGGCATGCCTTTAATCCCAGCACCCAAGAGGCAGAGAAGCAGGCGGATCTCTGGATTCGAGACCAGCATGGTCTACAGAGCGAGTTCCGGGACAGCCAGGGTTCCACAGAAAAATTCTATCTCAAATAACAAACCAAACTAAAACCACACAAAAGAGTGCTGAAGATGAGGCTCCTGGATTCGCTCCTGTCAGTGATCACAAGCAACTGAGAATTTCTGGAGAGAAAGGAGCCATTTTCTCTTTATTTGTGTGAAGAGAGGTGGACATGGGGTTGGGAGGAGTTTCGGACATGGCACAGGCTCAGTGAACAGGGCTGTGGGCCCAGGACTCAGAATTTCAGCTTCACAGGAACAAGAATCCTGTCTGTGTGACTCATTCTTCTGTCCCCCAGGCTCACAATGATCCCTTGATAAATGTATGTTGAACAAAAGAATGAATGTTCTTTAATCCCAGCTCTTGGGAGGCAGAGGCAGGCGGATCTCTGTGAGTTCGAGGCCAGCCTGGTCTACAAGAGCTAGTTCCAGGACAGGCTCCAAAGCTACTGAGAAACCCTGTCTCAAAAAAACAAAAACAAAACAACAACAACAAAAATTGCTTCTCACAGCCCTTACCAGCCAGGGCCGGCAGAGGCCAGACAGTTGTGAGCCACCATGTGTGTGCTAGGAATTGAACTCGGGCCCTCTGGAAGAACAGCCCATGCTCTTAACCACTGAGCCATCTCTCCATCCCCAGTACTATTCCATTTTCCTTTTGAGGCACTATGTCTCTGTATAAGTTGGGGTTATGCTTGCTATGACAAAACACTGTGACCAATACGACTTATAAGAGGAAACATTTAATCAGCTTTGGCTCCAGAGGATTAGAGTTCATGACGGTGGAGCGAAGATGT